CCGCAGCACCGGCAGCGAGGTAAAGCCCGGATCTGTCAAGCCTACAGCTTCGGGAAGCATTGCCGGTGAGCTTACCGGCACGTTGGACTGTCGCGTCTCCTGGGCGTTAGAATCATCGTCTGTTTTAATGCAGCCTTGCACACATTTTAAGTGCTATGCAGTGGCATGTAGCCCAGCTGTGAGGCGTCTTCAGGCTGTGGAGATACAGGATTTATGAACAATTTGCGCATTCACGCAGAGGATTCCGCGGAACAAAAGTGCAAAGAAGAAAGTGAAGTCTTTTCACCTCATTCCTTTAAAGATTGTAAACTGCTCCCGTCCGCCTAAATCTGGAACTGCTGTAGGCCTCCCATGGCCGCCACCGCGGGAGCAGCAGTACGACTGTGCCAGCGTCATCTTCTTTCATTGTGAGTTAGCAAATGTGCCTGCCAAGCAAAGCTACCAGCTCGTGTAGCGAGTTGCCGAGCTCGGCTCCCGCCGGCACGGTGCAGGGCTATACAGCCGGATGCGCTTGCTCGCAAGCGGCTCTGCAATTGCTGACAAACCCGGCGTCGTACGGCATAAATGCACTTGTGGATGCTGAACCAACCCTCATGCTGGCGCAGGGGCAGCTGGCAAGAGCCGGCGTTGCACTTCAGGAGGTTCTCATTAAAATGATCTAAGTGACTTAAAAGCATCTCGTCCGGGAAATGTTTCCCGTGGCCAGGCAGCGGTGACACAACCCATGCCTTGATGGGAAGGCTGGGGAAGCCTGGGCAGTCACAGACTTCATTGGACGCTTGCGTTAAGATTTCAGGAGCAGAATACGACTTTGAACAACTGCAGTACGCCCGTGTCTGCAGCACACCAGCAGTCAGTCTTCCTTGGTGCTGTCAGTCTTCCTTGCCAACAGGAAGCAAAGTTCTCCCAAAGATGCGCGTCTACAAGTACAGCTACTGCTGGCCGGGCTTGTACCAGTGTCAAAACAGCGAACTCCACTGAGGGATACTACCCTTACCATATTTTTTTTTGTGATCAATGGAACAAATAACAAAGAAAAGCTGTTCAGAGCACAGAAAATTAAAAGGTCGTGCAGCCCTGCCAATGGCAGAATCGGCCACAAGAGCTCCCAACAGTTAACCTGTTCCTAAAACCCCTCTTCAGTCGATAATGCTCAGTTCCCAGAACAATCTGTTCTGGCACTTGACTCTACTATTAGAAAGATTTTTCCAAACTCGTAGTCTGGATTTTTTTGTTTCGTGCACTACAATTTATATTCATAATCTAATCCTTTCAGCACAGACATGGTGGTGAGTGCTGATCTTCTGTCACAGCCTCTAGATGACTGAAGACTTTTGCTTCCCCCTTCTTCCAATCTTCTTTCAGCCAACCATCTCCCATTTTTTCCCAGTCCCCCTCAGGTGAGTTTTCCAGACGCTAGCCATTCTTTTTTCCTCCCCTAATTTATCTTCAGGTGGCCAGTATCTTTTTTAACTTTTATAAACCAGTTTAAAAGTGCTCGTCTTCGGGCTGCTCCCAGGTAAGCCAAGTTTTCCTCTGCACAGAGCGGGGTGGGCGTCCATCCCACTGATTTTCAGGTCCCTAGCTAGAAGCCGTCACTGGTTTAGCGAACCAAAAGGGGCGACCCAAACCAACTACCGTGCCCTCCCTGGAAGGGATTTCACAGGAACAGCAGGCGATGCAACTACTTAGTAACAGTTCTGCCTTTAATTTTACCCCAACGAGTTTATGCAACCGCAGTTTATTCCACATCTCCCCTCTTCTAGGCTTCAAGCTTAAAAAATGCAAGAAGTAATCTCCTCCATTCAGCCTTTCTAATCCTTACCATAGTATTATATCCAAAATTATTCTGTGATTACTGCTTCTACAGTGATTAACTAAGCTAGTACTGATTGAGCTCTACCAGTGGACTGTTTCACACCGAGCAGAGACTCATTTTGCCACCGTTACAGAGAACTAATATTGTTCAGAACACACGTCAGCAGAGTGGCTAAAAAATAAATAGAACGGATTAGTGGCTTTTCCATATAGCCTATGCTAGTGATTCCATTGTATGGGACACGTTTTCTGGACAGCTGGCTATTGCAAGCTAAGCTCCAATTTGCTACGTCAGATTTCAGGCTTTGTATTGTACTTACGAGGAAATAGAAATTATAAGGCAATACTAAAATTAACAGAAAGTGAAATTATGGAGAGACACAGAAGTAAGTACACACCGTACGATAAGTGGTTGATGATGTATTTATGCCATTAAGTCATTCACTCATGCATTTTCACAATTCATATGAAGACAGGTTTGTTCAAGTAACAGATAATTAATATACTAAGCTAACCCCTCCAAAACAGTAAACCAGCTTCAGGAGGAAGAACCATATATTACTTTCTATTACTTCTTTTGGCAAATCAGTAGCATGACTGATAGTATCAGGACACTTAGTTTGAGACAAAAATTGATGGTACTATACCTTATGCTTTGACTTGAAAAATGTATCTGCTTCTTAAGAACGTAATCAGTAGATTATGTACTGATTACTTCAATTTCCTTAGCTACTGCTTAGTTAAAATTGCTTTAGAAAAAGAAATTTTAACAAGATTAAGATTACTGATGTATTTAGCAACACTAAAACCAGCAATGTTTAAAATGAACATAAAATGTAACAAAACATTTTCAACCATGTAAAAGAATGCTGCACATACTTCAATATACAGACTATACTGTTGCTACAATTAACTTTCTTTTTCAGACTGCTTCAGTATAAAGAAGTTGGAAATGATATATTCCAACTAGCACTTCATTTCTTTCAAAATTAAGAACCTTTGAAACAACAAAGTGTTACAGACATAATAGTGGAAAAAATACAATTTATGCACAGTTTGAGAGCCCGATTCTTTTACCACTTATGCATGTGTTTTACTGACACTCAGTGAGACTGTGGACATGAAAGAACAAACGTACAAGCAGGCATTAAAACATTCCAGTTAGATGTGATTCCAGTATTTTAAAACAAGCATTTAACAAAGCCATGGCTAACCAAGGAAAAACATCTAACAAACTGTTGCACTCCTTTTGCATAGCTAGATTTTTTGGGGGACAAAGCTTGCAAAGAAAGAAGCTGCTCACGTGGGCGTAAATATCTGAATTCCCTTTTAATATTTGATTCTCACCAAGAACACTGGAAAATAGGTCTTGGCCATGAAGGCAGTGAATTTCCTCTTCTTTTAACAATGAAAGAATCAATTGTAAATTTCATAAGTTTCTATTCAAATATTAAAGAAAAAAAAAAAAAGCAATGGAAATGTTTTGTATTCTGACCTGGACAGATAAGCAAGGAATAAGCATCACAAAACTATCAGATGCTATCACGCTGTTTAGTTTATACCTAAATGTTTCACCATTACTTACAGAAAATTCTAAATACAGTTGGTCCAGCTCTTCTTACAGATGTAATATAGCAATTAGGAGTGCTACTGGACACCGCTGAACATCCATGGCCAGGTTTCCACAAGGAAAGAATGAGTCCTGCAATATTTGTGTGCTCTTCATCTGAAACAAGTAGTACTCCTGTAGTATCCAAACCAAGTGAGGTATGTTTTCTGAGTTTTTGTTTGTTTGTTTTCTCTTTCTCCTCTCCTACATATTTTGGAGCAGACTGTTTCATTCTGCATTTCTGCAACCCAGTCATGTAGTACTAAAAGTAGTAACTACTGATACTGGAAAATAAATATATAGTCTTACTAAACTTTCCACCTGAGTTTGGTATCTCAGTTGTAAATCAGCAGTGGGTGCAGTCCCTTTTCAAGATCTAGACTGGCAACTTATTTTTCCAATATTCAGTTACCACTCCGGCATGATGCTATCTAGTCTACTGACTGCCCACAAATTCTCCTAATACCGATTTTTAACCTTTTTTAAAAATTATGCCTGCAAACAGGATTCTGAAAAAGCTATTTTGTTTTAAGAACCCACTTCTCTTGTGGTGAACAACAAGATTTCAGGGAAATTCTGAAAATGCTGTACTCTAAAAAAGGAATTTTTACATTCAGACTTGACAACTTGGAGTGCAAAACTTCCATATACAGAACAGTCAAACGATTACAGACAACATGGCACCACGTATGGAGAGGAACTTAAAAAAAAAAATCATTAATTTGTTTTCTCAAGTAGAATTGAACTAACCATTTGGATGGGAAGGAAAGAGAAATGCATTTCTACTCTGTCCTATCTGCACTTCTAGTGCCTCTTCACACTTCCTTAAAAAGATCTCATTTAAACCAGTCGTCATGTTCTGTGATGATCAGAGTCATTCAGCTAGACTCCAGAATAATAGTGGTGGCTAAAGGAAATCCAAAACAACCTTTAAGGACTATTCGTAATGTTTGGAGTTCTGCAAGTCCTCTTGCAATAAAGACTAAATTGCATTCTGAAAAATGGGCAATATTCAAAGCAAACAAATGTCGATTTCATCAATAACACTTTTGCCTTTAGGACTTCACCAGAGATCCTTCAAGGGGCTAAATTCCCTGCCAGGAGTAATTCTATTCTAACATTGGCCAAAAAAAGATATATATTTCTTTTCTATTTACATATTATACATATTTACATTTTTTTAATACTACAGTTGTAGAGGGGAAAAAAAACCTGGATACAGATTTATTATCTGCCTTTAAATGTCCCAACAGCATTTTTTTCCCTTTGAAAAAATTTACAAGTCCTCTTCAGCTCCGTTGAAAGCTAGATACAGTCCACGTTCCGCAGGCCACCATCCATAGTCAAAGCACCAAATCTAAAATGAAAAAGCAGTGCATTCTTAGGTGATTGACTAATTATAGAATCAATCCTTAATTCATTATAATTTATTTATGGGTTTTTCTTTTCCCTTGCCACATGCCAACACATGCATTTGTATCTAACTTTTGTATGTGAAAAGAAGACAGAAGAAAGGATCCTATGCTCCAAGTACGGAACTAGGGGTGGGAAACAAAACAAAACCAATTCAGCTTGAAGCTAAGTTCAGCTCTGAAGCTTTCAGGAGATCATTGTTTGTATGTATTTTATCATCATCATAAGAAAAAAAGTAAAGTCAGTCTGTATGTGATAGTAACAGTACCCTCTCAGGATTGTAAGAAATATGTTAGCCTCTTTCTCTTCACTTCGTTTAAGCAATCTGAAAACTGAAAACACATTCATTCATGTTCACGTAATTCCACAGTTTTTAAAAATTATGTCTAAAAGTGAGGAGTTAAGAGAACCACTGGATTGCTCCAAAAGGATTGTGTTTAAATTCAGAATTAATCTGTCTGTGCAACAGGTATTTTTATCAGCTAAACATATGAAACAAAAATGCCGTGATTGATGTGTCAATGATTTTACAGTAACGTTTCAAGGTTTTGAAGACGTTCTTTTTTTCTTACACCTCAGATCAACAGTTCAAAAATATATTTACAGTTAAAGAGGTTATAAGATTGTCCCTTAGTTTAAGTTCTGGATCTACAAAATGTACCAAATTAAGCCTGTTCCTAGTATCAGCCCAAAAAGGTAAAATAACTGCTTGCCTTTCCAAAATGTGATTGTTCTCAGCCAGCTCTTTAACAACCCCTTCCATTTCCTCCTTTAGTTTCTTCATACTGTAGTAACAAGAAGCGAATGACAGGTTAAAATTTTTATAGGGACAGTTATCTGCTATGATCACTCACCACCACAAAGCTTTCAGCAACTTGTCATTACATACAAAATAAGGGACAGATAACAGGTTGGTTATTTACTAAAAGCTTCCAAATCTGTACCACCACTTCAGCAATATAAAGTTTTTTTCTGCAGTACAAAATTCTTGGTCTTAATACAGCAATCACTAAGTCAACCGTAATTTTTTTTTTCAATGCGCCTGTACAACAGGTATAGAATATTACATCAATTCAGTTAACAAATTCTCACCCAAGAGTCATTTCCACTAATGTGTTTGAGCTTGGGTAGACTGTATTCATTGTATGTTTCATCCCACTGGAAGCTGCAAACATTTTCTGCGGCAGAGCATCTTGTAACTGCAATAGATAAAAAGGAAATGTAAGTTACAATATAAGTTGTCATATGTATCTTTATGTCGACCTTAAAATCCTTCTTTAAATTCTTCATTGCTATGATGCCTCATAAAATCATTACAGTAGTAAGACAGCTGATATTTCCCAAGTTGAGATCATCATGGTAAGTTTTGTATTGACCAATCTATAGTTCCCTGATTTGTTCCATCTTCATAACTGTCTTAAAATTCGATAATAAACTCTCAAAAGGAAGAATTATCTATGTTATGTTTGTAGATATCCTAAGGCAACAGGACCCTAATCAATAACTGACTGCAGTAGTGCTACTAAAATACAAACAAATAACAAGTAAAATACTGCTCTCCACCATTCCTTAATTGCTTTTACACCTACCAGGTGCTTTTCTTTCATTTATATTTCCTTTATAAAGAATAATAATTTTACTGCATGAAACTGCTCTTATTCTCTCAATTTTGAGTTGATTCTAAATAAGTTTGTGTACTGCAGAGTCACCATCCAAATTTTAACAAAGCATTTTCTTTCATGTCACTAGCACCATTGATTTAGCATGTATCCTTAAGCATGTATCCCCGAATCTTGAATATGGGAGTAGTGTTTTTATACTTCATAAGGGTATTAAGATAATCCTCTAGGTGCTCAGATACCATTATGATAACTCCAAAATCAAGTCAGGATTCAAAAAATCACACCACTCTCTACGCCACTCTGATATCAGCAATGAAGCTACTATAGACCAAACACTACAACCACGCAGCCCTATATTTTAATACAACTGCATTAATGTAAGACTCACTATAAACAACACTATTGGCATTAAACAATGTGGAACAGTCTTTTATCTGTGCAAACACTTCACATACTTTTGAAGCATTCTACCTCATTTATATAGTCCTGGTATTTGGATACCTCTTCTTCAATATCAAAACACTGGTTGGTGAGAGCCAGCAACTGCTTCCTTGTGTGAAGCATCTTCCTAAAAGAAAAAAGTTTTCTTTTAAGACCTTCCTTTTATAAAAGTGGTGCAGTGAACATTACCAAATACTAAAGAAATCAATAGCTTGCCTTGTCCAGTCCTCAGCCTTGTCCAAAAATGTATCATACTTGCTGACACATTCATCTTTGAATAGAACGATGGCTTTTGTAGCATGCAAATACAGCTTCTGCCTGCAACACAGAAACAATCGGAACAGTGTTAAACAGCTTTCAAAACCCTGTTCCTCTAACTTACTTTCTGAAGCTTGGAGAAGAGGTGGTACTTAAGTCGACTTAAAATTCCTTCAGCCAACTTTATTCATGCTGTTGTAACGTGTAAGAATTCAACACACTGCATGAGCTGACAGTTTATGTTTCAAAAATATTCCCTAGCAGGGAGGAAAAAAAATTATTTGAAGCATTTCTTTGCAATAATCTGTATATGAACAAATGGTCAAATGTCTTCTCTGAGTCAGTATTTATCCAAGCGGGTATATTTAAGGAAAAGGGATTCTAAATGGGAAGGACAGAAATCTTTATTATTTATTTGCCTTCTGCAGATACTTGGAACTTCCAGCATATATAAATAATCCTTTGTGCTGAGTAAGATACATGCAAGATAAAACCAGGATTTTTGTGTCAGCTTAAATTTACGACAAAAGAAAAAAGCAAGCAGCTAAGGCCAGGAAAGCAAAAAAAAACCCAATTCTGGTTAGTGTTGCAGACAGTAGTCCTAGCGTAACTGCCTTGCCATGCTATGCATTGCACCAGTAAGTGAAACTAAGGGACACTGGGACACTACAGTCTAACACCTGCTTCTGGTATTTCATTAAGTCTTGCATGATAGCTATTGGCTAATCAAATTCTGGCTGGAGTGTAGCTGGATTGTCATCAGGCATGCATACCTGTCATTCAGCCAGAAAAAATCTGAATTGAGTGCTGTTCCCTTGTCTATCTAGTGGCAAATATTACAAAGGCCAGCCAGCCTCTGTTGCTAATGGCACACAGTTCTTAACAAAAAACACTGCCATTTCTCTCTGGGGTGAACCAAGTAAAATAAGATGTAGTTAGGATCTCAAAAATACTGGAACAATCCCAAGGAGACACTTGTGGTAGAAAATACACCAGTATTCAAAACCATGAAAATGAAGCCTATTTATTTAAAGTTATTCACATATTAATGCAAGGACACAGTTTGAGTTGTAGAAAAAGCCATAAAATTTCTTTAATCTGCCCAAGGGAGTGCAGTTTTAAAATGAGCTATGGATTGTGTCCCAATATTTGTCTGCTTTCCAAACATATCCTTAAGAACATACGACGAAATTATCGCTCACGTTATCCCCCACATTAACTTCAGTCCCTTGCTGTTGCAGAGCAATGATGTGTCCAAGTCTCTTTCGGTGTACCAAGACCTGTCTTGCAGGTTTCCTGCCCCTACTGTCCTTCATCTTAAAGGCAATCTCCTCTCCACTTGGCAGTCTTTCACTATGGGAAAATCAAGCAGCATGGTTGTGAGAATACCAGTGCCTTCTACATGTTAGCTTTCTATCTCTAATTGTCAGTGAAGCCACACTTGTGGTAGCAACAGCAAGAATTTTTAGAAAATTACAGAAGCAGTGTCTAAATTCATATAGCACTCTGCAAAGTCTAGGGAACCACGCAATTGAGCGGCCATTAGGAGAATAACTTAATTACTTAAACACAAGTGTTTAGCATCATTTGAGACGCACAAGGATATCCTGCCCGGCTTCCAACTGTCCATCCAGAAAGGTGTAGATTTCCCATTTGTCTTCTGTCCTACCTCCCAGTCTCAGATACCTTAGAATCATAGAATCATTTAGGTTGGAAAGGACCTTTAAGATCATTGAGTCCAACCATTAACCTAGCACTGCCAACTCCACCACTAAACTATGTCCCTAAGCACCACATCTACATGTCTTTTCAATACCTCCAGGGATGGGGACCCAACCACTTCCCTGGAAAGCCTCTTCCAATGCTTGACAACCCTTTCTGTGAAGAAATTTTTCCTAATATCCAATCTAAACTTCCCCTGGTGCAACTTGAGGCTGTTTCCTCTTGTCCTAGCACTTGTTACTTGGGAGAAGAGACCACCACCCACCTCGCTACAACCTCCTTCCAGGCAGTTGTAGAGAGCAATAAGGTCTCCCCTCAGCCTCCTCTTCTCCAGGCTGAATGAGCCCAGTTCCCTCAGCCGCTCCTCATAGGACTTGTGCTGCAGACCCTTCACCAGCTTCGTTGCCCTTCTCTGGACAGTACCTCAAGGTCTTTCTTGTAGCGAGGGGCCCAAAACTGGACATAGTATTCGAGGGGCAGCCTCACCACTGCCGAGTACAGGGGGACAATCTAGTTCTGCTGGCCACACTATTCCTGATACAAGCCAGGATGCTGTTGGCCTTCTTGGCCACCTGGGCACACTGCTGGCTCATGTTCAGCCAGCTGTCAACCAGGATCCCCAGGTCCTTTTCCGCTGGGCAGCTTTCCAGCCACTCTTCCCCAAGCCTGTAGCGTTGCATGGGGTTGTTGTGACCCAAGTGCAGGACCTGACACTTGGCCTTGTTGAACCTCATACAGTTGGCCACCTTCATCCAGTTGGCCGCGCCCCACCGATCCAGCCTGTCCAGATCCCTCTGCAGGGCCATCCTACCCTCCAGCAGATTGACACTCCTGCCCAACTTGGTGTCGTCTGCAAAGCTACTGAGGGTGCACTCAATTCCCTCATCCACATCATTGATAAAGACACTAAACAGAACTGGCCCCAATACTGAGCGCTGGGGAACACTGCTTGTGACCGGCCACCAACTGGATTTAACTCCATTCACCACAACACTTTGGGCTTGGCCATCCAGACAGTTTTTAATCGTAGGGCAACTTAAATACTATTAGGCATCTGCATATGAGGAACTGAACTGATCCTGAGACAAGTACAGCAGCATGAGGAGAGCAGCTGTTTACAGTTGCTCAAGAAGCAGAGTTACCAGAGCTTAATGGGAGTCTAGACACCCGGGTTACATACAGACACTTAATGTGGCCACCTCTCATAAGTGACAATTTTAAACAAGCATGGAGTACTGCATTAAAATTTATTTCGCGTGCTATAGTTCCTGGAAGATTAAGTCATTCTAGAATGTCATTCAGGTACCCATATTTTATTCATCTGTAGAAAATTATCTCTGCCTTAGTTACAAAGTCACTTTACTGTTACTGAGGGCTTTTTCCTCCCTAAAAAAACAGGACAAAAAATGTACTTCCTATAAGACAGTTATGCCCAGATAACAAACAGGTATTTCACATCTACATTTAGAAGGTCTACCAGTGAAGAAACTCCACTGCCAGAAAGCACCTCATTATCATATGCTGGCACCCCTATGTATTTAAGGTAAAGGAAATTTTTTACAAAGCAATCCTAAAGATGTTATAATTTACAATAAAAATCAACAGAAGAGGTTATTGGCAAGACCACCTGAAGGACCTGAAAGCAATCATGTTACTTCCCAAAGGTAACTTCAAAACTTACTTGTCAAACTTGTGAATTTGTTCTTCATTATAAGGAAGCCCTAGGATCAGAGCAGATGACAGACATTACCAGTTTAATTCTGTTAGTTGTATTTATGTAAAACTCCACTAAGTTTACCCATTTCCTATATGGTTTCCTTCTCCTATCCCGATAGGTAAAAGTGGTCATTTACTTTTTTTTTCTCCTCTCCAGTCTTGCAATTCAAGTTTATGAAATGAATAGTGGTGTTTCATTGATATGGCCTTTAAGACGGTACCTCACTAAGAAAGATCTACAGACATATTCACTGTTGCTGACTAACTCTCCATTACCACAAATATCCTAGCGGAACAAGGACTGACTTGTCCTTTACATTATAGTTTATGTTAAAAGTGAATCAAGTAAGTTACTTACTTCGTTCTGCTTTGTCTTTTTTGAACTGGTAATAAATATCTGTGATGGAACATAGCAGCGCCTGCAGCCTTTCTGGACTAGAGTGACAAAAGGAAGAAAATGAGGTATTTTATATATAAACTTAAGTACCAATTAATGAGTTTTATGAACTACAACTCAATGTAGAATTCAATACCTATTAAAACAATTAATACAGCTACTCACTTTCTGTCTTTTGGATGCATGCCTTCCTGATTTGCCCAGGTGTCAGCCAGTAAACCACCAGGAGAAAGTTTGGTTTTGATATCTTGAAGACTAGTTTCTATTGTGCCTTGAGAGCTGGAGAGCTACGTAAGAGCAAGAAAGTTCAATCTTACCACTGGGTAAAGTAAAAAATTACTTGAGGCTGAAAACAGACTAAGCATGTTAATACTATAGACCCATTTGTTTCACTGACCTTCATTAAAGAAATATGCCTGATTATCTGCCTAGGCTTTGCTAGTACATGGTATTATTAAAGAAAGAATCATCTTTGATGCTGGCATTTTAGCTAGTTAATATTTATTTTCTTTCAGCATCCTCAACAGTAAGTTTCTACCTTTCATATATTCCCTATTTACTTCTACACTTGTTCTTTTGGTTTGTTAAGAATTCGTATAATGACTATCCACATAATTCATACCTTCCTTTCTCTGTAGTTCATACAATCTTCAAAACAAAAATGCACTAATCAACTTTTGCTTTTAGAATGGAGAACTTTACACCTGCTCCCAGGACACCAGTGTGTAAAGTTATGTTCAATTTTTCCTTACTTGTCTGGAAACATGATGCAAATTTCAAAGCAGATCACTCTGAATTGTGTTTGTGTATGTATCATTTTAGAAAGCCAACAAAGTAGTTTAAAATTCTTTAAGGAAAGGGAAAAAGCCTTCAAAGTAAAATGTATTTCATCGTTATAATTTTTTACTTGAGTATTTTAGAAAATGAGACTGTATTTTCAGGAACAACTTATTTAATTTTCACTACACTGGGCTAATAAAAGGATTTACTCTGTTTTCAGAAAGATATCCACATCTCAGTATGGGCTTTTTAACAACCTTTAGCAGTCTAGAAATGACTTTGAAAATCCAGAGTTGTTATTCACAGAAAAATCTGTGTTACCGTCTATTGGCTTTTTCTTTAGAAACACCATTTTGAGAATGACACGAGCTTTGTAAGATACTTACACGCAACAGTTTTGTGTGTATCTCTGAAATTTCATCCACTTCTGATGCTTCCAAGTTGATCTGCATCAAATTCTCATATCTGACCACAAAAAAACCCACAGTTAAAAAAGAAAATAAATAAACAGTGTATACACTCAAAATATTCCTTGAATCTCTAGATTAACAATAACTACCTTTTCTTTTATATGAAATACAGTATCTATCAAGTAGCAACCATGAAATACTGACAAACGTTAATGGCAATTAATAATATAAACAGTTTAGTTATGAAAAAAAATTCCTTGAAATTTTTACAACATTTGAACTGTTGAAAAGAAGTTTGAAACTTCCATTCCTGACTTCTTTATTCTATTCTCATTACTTGTACTCAACAGGCAGTGTGTCGTGGTTTAGCCCCAGCCAGCAACTAAGCACCA